TATTTTCCATAAGTGTTCTACAACACACATTGATGGCCCAGATTTCCGCCTGAAAAACGGAGGTGTTATTGCCAAGAGGGGAGGAGATGCTGATTCCTTATAGGAGATCTAAGCTCCTCCTCTAATTCTGGAGAATTAAAATAAATGAGATGGCTATAATGGTACCTGACCAAATGAGAGATAAACTCAACTTAAACAGATCCTTCCAAGTGATTAGAAAATATATACCTTTGGAATAAAGACAGCCCCAAGAATCAGGAAGGGGACGTAATATGGTAAACAGATGGTTCAAAGATGAAACAGAAAGTAGGTGAGTAGGACAACTGATAAAAGCCTTTTTTTTCAGCTGTTCCTTTCCCTAAGACTCGCGATATTCACTGTTGAAACATTTTTTGTAGTTTAGGAGTTTAATGTTCAGCCATCACTGACGGGCCACTTTTTTTATGGAACGCTGGAACGTAATTGCTTCAACATTCAGAGTTCCTCGCTGCAGCTGATTTTTCATTATTGCTGAATGTGACTATATTTGTCAGTGTAGCTATGGCTGAATCTATAATCTTCACCCGATCCTTAGCGGTGCATTTAGCATTGCCATTCGAATGGGTTGACCAATCCACTGGGACCTTATTCTACTACAAACCTCTTAGGCATGCAAAGATTCCAAAAGGAATTTTAGGAATAAATAATAAAACTCGAAGAATTGCAGTGCTTTCTTTTGTGAAAGTTTTTTTTTCCAAAAAAACCCTCATTGGATGATAATATAATTTTTTTCATCAACTGTTTCTTTTCCTAGGACTGTTATTAGATGTTGAAGCTCCTTTTGTCTTTGGGGTGTTTGGGCCAAATTTCTTGTAGATCGTGTTGCATGTACATTTAATACTGCCAATCAAATAGGCAGTTCATCAACCTTCTGGGGCACTGTATTCTAATACTAACCTTTTAAGCATAGCAAAGATTCCAAAGGATTTTTTTAGGAATAAATATTTAAACTAGAAGGATTTCAAGTGCACAATATTTTTATTAGTCTCACAGCATAGGTTTTGACAGGTTCAGCACAAAGTATTCGAAGAGAACATTTACGAATAATCAACTAAAAGTATCTACTCAATGAATCTACTTTGAGCTACCACAAAATTAGTTTATATAATCTAAGTTGAGTAATTTTTAATAATAAATATAATCTACGATTTATCTATTATAAATATAATTTACAATTTCACAGTAAATTTACAAAGAAGCGAGTTTTTCTGCAATCAAAACATACAATTTTTTTTACATTTTTAAAAGGAACTCGTATCTTTAAGAAAAATAATACACTCTATTTTCAAGAATATTTTCATTTAAAGTATCGACTTCAGACTACAATATAATATCACTAGTTAAGTATTTGTAATAATACTGTTTGAAATTCAAAAGAAAGAACACAATTATTTTCGAATAAACACATAGGTGACCTAAACAAAATTGTAAGTTCGATGTCTCTATAAATTACTGATTACTATATACAATATAAATATATATTTATATATATTTATAATTAAAATACGTAACTATGACCGAAATATACAAATTTTAATTGAGCCACAAGTCTTTAACATAAAGAAATTGAAGTGCTTAATCGAGGATTTATACAAAGTAATAAAAGTTTAAAAAATGTGATTGAACTCGTGGCCGAAAAGTAAACGCAACGCGGATTTAGCCGAAGGTGCTGCCTCTGAGTTTTGAAAGGGCAGTCGTAAGATGTTGCATTTCCAGATTCATTTGAGAGACTAGGTTGTCAAGTCTGTCGACAGAATCGAGGATTTCGACTTGTTCCGTGTGGGGGTTGTACCTGACTTCAAAGGGGCGAGACATGGTCGAGACCCACCTGCGGAATTTTTCTTTGGCGTCTTCGAAACTTTCGGCCACGTAGTAGATCGGCTGGTATTCCTGGTCTTGGTAGGGTTGAACAGCGGTGGTGCAAGGGTCGAACGCCCTGTGCTCGGGCTTATCGGAAATGGCGTGGAGAAGTTCACCGTAGCTGGAAAGAAGTCCGGCGCCGTAAGCTTTCACTTGTCCGTGCTCTTTGCAAAGTCCGAATTCTACTGTGAACCAGTAGACGGTGGAGAGTTTTTCGATTTCCTCGTCGGACGCACCGAGAGAAGCCAAACCGATTTCCTGAGAAAACTGAGCGAAGCTGGGATCAGCCAACAACGGCATGTGTCCTAGCAACTCGTGAATGCAATCCCTGTAAAATATAGAACAGTCTTATTTTATAATAAACCAATTTGAAAATTTTATTGTGAGGTCGTCTGAGGAAAAATGAATTTCTGTTGGAACAGTTAACAGAATTAGAAGGGGCATCGTAATAGACTATGAGAACCCATTAGCACCTACACCCCTAGTTACGTCCCTTATCACCGTTCAGAAATTCAATTATGTCTCTAGATGAAGTCACTTTAAAGACATGAAATTGCTTTAACCGAGATTTTAATCATATTGACGTTTGCTTTTTGAACATTTAACTTATTTAAAAAAATCTTACAAAAATAAAAAATTACTTACGGTTCTGGGGTGTGGAATGGTGTAGTGGTATGTCTGACATATTGGGTGCTCTGGAACACCCTGAAAGCCAAGCTGGCGAGGAAATCCCTAGCGGTAAGAAGTCCTGCAGCAGGGCGAAGAGTGAATCCGGTGCATTTTTTCAAGAAAGCAGACATTTCTTCAAGCTGGGGGATCTTGTTCGGCTGGAATATACCCTCTTCTTGAAGTTTGGCAAATACTATCTGATATTCCCTGCAGAAATGTTTCGGCATGAGGTCCAAAACTGTGTTGAATACTGCAGTCCAGGTGGAGATTTCGCTTTCGGTGTAACTGATGTGTGGAATGGGATCACCGCTAGAAATTAAAATAAAATGACGTTTGAACATTTCTGTAGCAAGTTCAACGTTTTATAACAGTTTGAGATCCTTACTATTTGTACTCGAAAGCAATGTTGGCGATGGCCTTACGCCTTTCCCTGTATACTTTGTCAGCAAATCCAGGATGGTTCATATCAAGTTCTGGTTCGTATTTGGTCATGAGATGGTTGCAGTTGTCCAGGTCACGCGCGTGACGAGGGAACCACGGGTCTAAAATATAAACAAATGTTACCTCGGGATGTTTTAACATTTTTTTAAAATAATTCTGCGTACTTTTGACGTTAATGCTTTCATCGGAAAGAAGGTTGACTCCTCCCAAAGCAGAACTTTGCCTAAGAGATTTGATAAGCGAAAGGAGGCTCTGGCGAGACATGTCGACCTTGACCAACACATCAAACTGAGCTCCGGTTTGCTTGGATGGACGTGATTCCAAATGGACAATCTGCCCTTTAAAGTTCTGTAAAATCACCAGTTAGTTTTATCTGAAAAATAAAAATTGCATTGGATGCAGGTCGATCAATTACCTCGATGGATTTGAGTATTCTGGCCAATGAGCCGATTCCATCCTTGAGTTTCAAGACGAGCGCGGCCCTCTGCAATGTTTGTTCGGCTTCTTTGCTTTCCCCTGCGGCGTTGCTGAGGATGACTTCTTCCTCAGTCAGACCACAGTCTATCGACAAAAAAAAAAGCAATGGAATCAATGGAAATATCTGGGGCAGTTGTTAAAGTCCTAAGTGATGCACGGGTGGATGAACAAATCGCTTAGGATTAAGGCGAATTTAAAGCCTCCAAGTACAATGGCACAAGGGACGCGAAAGACAGGAAATTACCACCGCCCTCAGTCAAAGGCGATCAAGACCAGAGAAAGAGAGATTTGCCCTTTATTTCAATCCAAAGCGGTCCGACTTTCCCACTTATGATATCCGCGATTATCTCCAAAGAGTGGTTCGCACAATTTTCAACCCGTTTTTCACTTTTAAATAAGATTAAAGCTTTATTGAAGACTGAAATAACTCAACTTGGAGGAACAAATTTAAAGAAAAAAAACGCATAAAAGTTATATTGAAATTACCTGAGTGTGAGTTCCTTTGATTGTTTTTCTCGTAAACGTTCTCTTTGTTTTCATCATCAACATCAACTAAATTAAACAAAATTCATGCTTTATAAAATAAAAAAAATTTCAAAATTAAAAAGAAAACGATAAAATTCAACTACAAACCTGAATGTTTGGTGTCTTGAGAATCTTTGATCTCAACATATTTTTTAAGATCATCTATCAATAAAAAATGAAAATAATAAAAATGAATAATGGAAGAAAATAAAATAAAAAGTTAATAAATAAAATAACAAAGACATACCGTGCTTTTGCTGCTGAGCCTGTGTCAACTGGATATCGGTGTTGTCTAAAATTATATATAACGAAACGTAAAAAAAAAACTCATGCGATAAAAATGTAACCATGCAAAAAAAAGGCCGTGGAAGAGAAAAATTCTCACCATTTGTGCGATTTCTGGCTTCTTCGAGTACGCTTTGCTTGGTCTGCTTGACGACGATGGTCTCGAAGCGGGCGTCGTCGACCAAAGACCTGCGTCTCGCCGGATATCCGTTCTGCAAAACGAAAGGGAGAAAAACCATGAGACGGAATAAGAGTGAAAATCAAATTTTCTTTGTATAAAGGGAACGCAGGTGGTGAGATTCGATCAGCTCAATCTGATCCGGCCCGATTTACAATATTGCACCCCAAAGGGGTATTCATCCTTCTTAAATGTTTCAAGAGTCACTGAGAAAATCCACCAGAATTAACCTTTTTGACCCACAAGTACTGATAAGTATAATTCTTTATTTTGGTATAAAAAAAGGATCGTCCTTTATAATATAACGATTATAAGATCCTACCTTGATCCCCCCTTCAGCCGGCGAAAGTCAACCGAATTATACGGCGGATTACAGAGGTCCGACCTCATCCGAAAACGCCAAGACAAACACGACCCCAAGGGGTTCCGGTCGGTCGAAATATTAATTAACCCGCCAGCCACCAATTTCCTGGGACAATAGAAAGAGAGGAGGATGCCTGCTCGGGACAGGAACGCCCCAACTGATTGATCCACCTCGTTCTATTCCAGGGCAAGTGGCCTGTTCACATTTCGACATGTCACTTATTTTAATGAAATGACATTTAACAGGCTTCAATATATATATTTGGTTTTAATTAATTTTACTTTAAAATACTCCTCTTATAAACATCGTCTCAGACAAATTTGACATAAATGTTAAGAGTTCCTATATTTAGAACCTTCTGGAAAATGGTGTTGATAAATTTTAAACGAATTAACTTGTCTATGTTAGCACTTATTTTAATAAAAATGACATTTAACATATTTCTATATATACATATTCGGTTTTAATTAATTTTAATTAAAAAAACTCTTCTTATAAACATCGTCTCAGACAAATTTGACGTAAACGTTACGAGTTTCTATATTTAAAACCTTCTGGAAAATGGTCGTTGATTAATTTTAAATGTATTAACTTGACTATGTTAGCACTTATTTTAATAAAAAATGACATTTAACAGGCTTCAATATATATATTTGGTTTTAATTAATTTTACTTTAAAAAACTCTTCTTATAAACATCGTCTCAGACAAATTTGACGTAAACGTTATGAGTTTCTATATTTAAAACCTTCTGGAAAATGGTCGTTGATTAATTTTAAATGTGTTAACTTGTCTTAGTTAGCACTTATTTTAAGATATAACGGATTTTTTCTTAATGCGGGATTTGATATACACTTATAGTCGCTGAAAATGACAGTTCGAATTTAGGTCAACAGTAACACAAGGAAGAACCATGCCGTACGGAATTTCTAATATATGATCGGGAGTGATTTTTCAAGGTTAGCCGGATCCGTAACTTGATCGTAACAGTACTAGGTTTCATTAACTTACTCGAAGGCCTTAGACTTCAAGGGCGTCAGTTCATCGTTTCAGCAGGACGGGTCAATCTTTAGACTTTTTCGTCTTTTAGGAGGATTTTTAAAACTCGCGAAACGAGCCTTTATCTGATCGTCCTTCGTAAAAGGGAGTTAACTGGTCACTCGTTAATATCCGATTACGAGCCGGCGAAAGTCATTACGCTTTATAAGGCACGTACCGTTTGGTCTAATGACCCTCGCGCACCTCTCCGACGTTTACCCAATCCCCCAGCGCAATTTTTGTTTATTTTCGGCCCCAGGGAATTTTAAATTATCTCAAATACCTCGCTTTCCGTAAACACTAATTAATCCTTTAGTATTATTGTTTGTACCTTGTAAAGTTAAAACAAATAAAAACAACAATACTTTCGACTAAAGAGAAAGCATAACTAAGACGGCATAACTATGCTTGTATAAAATGTCAACATTGCCCAACAAGATTTTCCCTTAAAAGTAACTTACAATAACAATTAAATGGACTTAGTAAATATATTTATGTATATTGCATTATAAATGTGCTCAGAATTAGTAGAAACAGGACTCATGCATAATCCCACCAAAAATAAAAAAAACCAAACCTTCAAGTAAATATTGCGTGTAAATATTAAAACAATTGGAAATTATTAATAGTACTATGTGAAAAATTTTCAATATTAATTAAAGATCAAATTAATAAATAAATAAAAGATAAGAGAATCTAATGAACATGCTAAAACTATTTTTAGACTAGATTTTACTGTTTTCCCCTTACATTTATACTATTAATTGTGTTAATTTCTGATATAAAAAAGAAAATATTTTTGTGCCATTGTTAATGTTTAAAAATTAATATTGTTATAATTAGTAAAAGTACCTCGATGCTGTAAGATTTCTTAATAGCGAACATCTCCCTGTTCTTCTGGGCAGCTGCTACGGCCATCATCTTGCTCTTCTTGATATTTTCTTCTCGGACGTAATTAAGCAAGGCGTATCCTGCGAACTCCAGCACTTCTCGCCCCCTCGGGTTGTCGGTCAGTTTTGTCTAATTCCAAACAAGGGATGTGACCCCGAAAGAAAGAATGATTGTCTCTCTTTTGTATTTGTTGGACGGTCAACGCGTACTCCTTTAAAAGGCTGCGGTAGTCGAGGTCCTGGGAACCCTTCTTCTGGAAGAAATACAACTGCAGAAATGTTTTTTTCTCCGACTGGTAAGTCACGTCTCCGACTCCCACGAGGTTTGTGAGACTGCGGTTAGAGCAATGTACCCTCCAAAGCGCCGCCTTCGGCTTATATACTCTCCAATCCTTCCCCCACTTGCGCCGAGGGATTCTCTCCCACTTCTCAGAACCCCCTTCGGAAAATCAAAACTTTTTAGATATTCTTTAATGACATTCCCATACTTTGACTTGTAATTCACAGGATGGTGACTCACATATATCGTTTTCTCGATATTTTTCACATGTGCAAAATGATAATAATCTTACAAACTGTCTCAAACCCTCGTCTTGGGCAAATTTTCTTGATTTCCCCCGTAGGCCTGCTATTCTATAAACTTCATGATCTTCTACACTAAAAAAGAAACGCCAAATATCAAATAAAAAATTACATATCGTTGATCGTATCACACATCCTATTTTAAAATAAAGACATCTAAAAATTAAAATATTAAATATCTCCATATAAATAGTAAAATTAAATGTTCATGGTCGGACATCAGAGAAGAAAGATTACATTTTATAACACAAACAAAATTTCTATGATTTAATCAATTACAAATTATCTTGTAACAATATAGTACAAATATGGTCATATTATGATAATACGTATTTTATATTACATGATACGTTGAATTCAAACTATTGATAACCGGTTATCAGCTCATTCGTAACACTAATATCAAAATTCAACCATTAATCCGTGCCTATTATTCCTCGGATGCCAGACAATAAATTGCGAAATATAAACTACTACCATTTTAACTGGTTACATACCTGGTGGAACGATTTGTTGGAAATATATAAAATCACATGCTTAGATAGAAAATAAATGAATGAATTGAACGATATACCTATTGATCACGGAAGATTTGAGAAGAGAAAGAGATTACGCGAGAAAGAGAGGAAGAGGAAGAAAGAGAGAGAGAGAGAGAGAGAGAGAGAGAGAGAGAGAGAGAGAGAGAGAGAGAGANTGTGATAGAGAAAAAAGGTGTGTGTGTGTGTGTGTGTGTGTGTGTGTGTGTGTGTGTGTGTGTGTGTGTGTGTGTGCGTGCGTGTGCGTGTGCGTGCGTGCGTGTGTGTGAAAAAAGATAAAGACACACACACACACACACACCAAAATATAAACACAAATATATCAGTTTATATAATTTATGTTCTGGTTATTTATAGTTAAAATGTTCATTCACAAATACACATGTATCAGAAGATTTGACGGTATTTATAATATACATTTTACCGTTTTTAAAATTGCATTGATCTGTAAATATTTAAAAGTTATAAAGGCAATTGTTATGAGAAAATTAAATATTTGGAATTTTGGATATTTAGATTGGTTATTAGACAACTAAGATCATTTCGATATCGTGTAATGATAACATTACTGATATTTCATTTCATCACGATGAGTTGTATTTATCCTTTATTCATGTTTAGTAAAACTTTCTTCGTTTATTATTTTTAAGTATTGTTCTTGTATTGTTCCATATGTACATCTTGTGATTTATATTGTTGGCCGGAAGTAGTGCAATTTGGTCTAGGTCGGAGAATTCTAATGTCTCGGTTCCTTGTCCTTTCACCGGTAATGTATACCCTTGCATTGTCAAGGACTTAAGAGAGAGAGAGAGAGATAGAGATTTAAAAAAAAACTTAATCTCCGATTCTGCAAATTAACAACTTACCAAATCGAAGATTTTCATTAAAAATTCTTTCACCGTTTTCCCACTTTCAAAGTCGTGAACTACCCCTGAATCTTTTTTAGAGACCGGCTTCCATCGTCTTATGAGCTGATCGGCTTTTTTATACATAGGCAAACCAGCATAACTTACTTTCCGTCCTTTTGGCCTACAAGCGCCGTGTTGCATACCGCCCAATTTAATTTCCAATCTTATAATTGTAATATTATTTAATTACTCAACAATAAACTGTAGTTTTAACAAAAAGCTAATGAGTTATAAATAATTATTTTTATTGCTACTGTATTAATTTTGTTAACTATATACTATTTTCCCCACTTGTAATTTATCTGAAATATATTTAGCTTATTGAGATATTTTATACTAAATTATAATTTATTACTTATTTATATATGTTTTAAAATTATAACTAAAAAATTATTTCTTGCTGATTATGGTAATTAAGCCAATCTTATAGCAAAGGAATTTTTTTTGTTATTTCCTTATTTTTTTGCCTTCCCTATTTCATACTTTTTCTGTTGCTTTTAATTCCCACTTGCCTACTTTAATAGAGATCTAATTCTGAAGGTGACTATAAAAAAGAAGACTAGTTTGAGTTTTCCTGTGAATAAAAGGGGGTGGTTTTGATCTTTAAATGGTCCCTGACCAATATTTCCGCCAGGCAGGACTTGAAATGTAAAAATTAATTATTCATAATTATTAATTAAGTTAGGGTTTGTTAGCTTAGGAAGCCAAGGCGAAAAAGCTGAAGTTTGTAATACAAGTAACCCACAAAAAAAATATTTAAAAAATGCATGTGAAGTATCCTGGAAAAATTCAAAATAAATCTAAATAAAAAATCTTTGTGTTACTGTTTAAAGAAAAAGATTTTTCATAACTATCATTTACACCAATTAGGCTAATTATTATTTATTAATTGTTTACATAAGCTTAGTTACGAACAAACATACTGACACTATTAAAAAGATACAATTTTTAATTTTCTATTAATAATTTTTATTGTTAATATCTTACAGTATAAGCGTAATCGAAACGACGATAAAATCTTAAAATTGAAAATTAAAACATTGGACTGGTAGATTATTTTAACAAAGAGGTCTTTAAAGTTTGTTAAAGATGTCTAATATCACAAAATCATTTACAATTGTTTTATCATAAGGTCATATTGATAGATACGGCAAATTAAGGAAAAAACAATGTTTACGATATTAATTCACAATAATGAATAAGACAGAGGAAAGTTTTATTATCGCTGGATTAGCATCTTTTTCTTCTTTTTGTTTAACAACAACAAAAATCCCGGATTTACTTTTGCATTTGTATTGCTTATTAAAGGGTTTATCACCAATTAAATCCTATCAGAAATAATTAACCTCCTGGACAAACAGTGTCGAACGTTTGAATAATCCATATTTCTCTTCTATATTTTATAAGACATCAAGTATGTCTTATAAAATATATGAATGTGACAGATTTTGGAGGAGTAAATGAATTTATATTTTATAAAATAATTAATCTGGATCAGACGGAATTACAGCTCAGGGTAAACAACACGGGTTGAACATTAGAACAAGAAAATATAATCCACGCTAACACTCTGTATTCCCCAAGGTATCCTTAGCCCTACACTCTTCTCTATTTACACCCGTGATACTTTACGATTCCTGATGATACATTTTGATCATCTTCCACAGCAACCTTAAAACCCACATTTCGACGAATTACGCTACATCCTATCTAAATGAAAACATACTTCTTTTTATGTATGTTTGAGACCATGTACGGCTCATGACAACGGCAAATATCGACTTAATAATTAAAATTTTAAAGATTTAAAATAAAATAAAAGTTTAAAATTTAAACGACTAAACGACGTTTCAACTAAGAATCCAAGATCCTACGAAACATAGTTGATATTTTACATATCCAATCTTGCTATCTACACAGACCTCAAGATTCCTTTCATCCATAACCTGTCAAGCACCGGATCCTTAAATTCCACTTCACCTTTTCAATCCCCAGTAATCCATTCGTAACCGAATTTCTCAAGACCTTTTATTGTCACGGCATGCTGCGAATGTCGTGCAAGAGCTCAATGAACTGCCATTTATGCTCAAGGGCATTCTTCCCAAACACCTTCTTGTCCTCAAATCCTATTTTTCCACCAGATATTTTCAGGTTTGTAAGAGTCATGCACTCCCTGCAATTTGCCAAGTTAACGCTGGTTCCTCCCAAGATAGCCATATCCTCTTTGCAGGAAACGTCTGCTTCTTCTTTAACAGTTAGATCTATATTTAATGATGATACACCTCTATTATGATTCTGTCATCCCCCAAAGAAACCATTAAATTATGTATCATTTCCCTTCTTTGAGTCATCCGTATATCATAGAGTGGAGGATATCATTACCACTATGGCAGTTTTTTTAACCTAAGCATCCAGCCTTTCTTTGTTCTATTATTGGCCAACATGCGTAACTTGCATATATGATCATGAAGAGAATGAGGGAAGGCCTTAAGGTCATTTTAGGATTTAGTCGTGTGTTTTACCACTGAGTCTTAGTGTATGCATTTAACCTTGTCCTTGTCGTGGGTTCTCTTAAGGCGTACATTCCATGTTAACCTTTTCTTGGTTCCTCAGGGTTAGAAGTCTAAGATTTAGCTTTTTCCTGATGGTTGGCACTATTGTCGGCTAAGTATTCAACACGGTACGAAAATTAATTAAATAAAATTTTAAGTAATGAGTACGACCAATGAATCCCGTTTTGATTACACTACACAATGGTCTAAGTTTGTTGACTTTTTTTAATTCACTGATAATTAAACTTCATAATCCGATCTTTTTGTATATTGAAATAATCTTGTTTAAATTGGCTGTGTGTTGAAAACGATTAAAATGATATTTTTGAATATTAAACAGCTACTCTTTCATCAAATGTTTTTATTAGTTCAACAATAGACGTTAGAAAGTATAGACTTATAAATACTAAATGAAATAAAAAAAGATATTTTATGTCTGAACCCACCTCAAAAACATTTAATCCTTGGGGCGGCGTGAATCCACTCTCTTTGCATGTTTTTCATTCCCACTGTCGGGATATCTCATAAACAGAGGATTTATGAAATTATCTATAGAAGAGTGGGGAAATTCAATAGGTCAAATTGCCCAGACGGCGAAGACCCCTGAGTTGCCCTTTCTTCGACCGTGTCAATTTTATCAACGTTTATTTTATTTTATTTTATTTTTTGCAAATATTATCAATGGAGCTGCTATCACGCGTTTGATTTTATAATAAAAAAAAACCCAATAGAAAAAACTTAACAGGAATCCCTGATTTTTTGTTTAAATTAAGGTTACATCGCCAGTTAATTTTTATCGGGGAAAATTTTGTTCCCTTGGATGAACAAGTACGATTGTAATAAAAATCGTCTACCCATCCAAAATATTATTTAATTTCTGTTTATCTTCAAAGATGTTTTTATCTTTTGTTTTGATTCCGATTTATTTAACATTTTAATAAGTTTATTATGATATAACAGAATTGTAAGGTCAAAAGAAAACCCTCGAATAAATTTAATAGCCGTAACTGGAATAATTCATCCAAAACGTGTTCAAATTTTAATTAAAAGTTACGCCTGAAGTGAAGTATGATTTATAAAAAAATAAATGACAATAAAAATTAATATCAAGGTTGATTTATGGACGTGTCAATCATGTCATCGACAACGACCATAACTCACTTTTGCCTGCAACTTACAGTAAAAACCGTTTAATCGTCATCAATATTTTGATCTTTCTTTATGATAATTTGGAATACGTCTCCAAACAGATAAACTACGTCATCACAAGGCGATATGGATTCGCTTCACGACCAGATGTAAGTCAAACTTATAGATTATAAAAATGGCAAAAAGGAGGGAAAATTCAAAAGGTGGGGTTGGGATGGGAAGTTGGTGTCCGAGTGGATCGAGGTCACGATAGCTCAAATGGTAGAGCAGCGGCGTATCTAGCCGAAGATCGTGGGTTCGAATCCCGCTCCTGCCATTGACTTTTTTATCTCAACTAAAAACCTTAATTAATTGTAAGATATTAATTGATCAAGCGGACCACGAAACTAGTGAACTTTTGGATTACTTACTGGGTCCGACTACCATCGCGGGTTTTGATGATACCCAGAATTCTCAACTCCAAATTAAATTTCAGTAAACACATCACAAAATCTTGTTAACTTGTAAAGCTGCAACTAGATAAATTTTTCCTTTACATTGAATGCAATCCGAACTGGACGTACTAAAGGGATACAAGATGACAAAGGCCTGTCTCAAATTTCAGACTTTTTTTAGTTTTTCGGATTTTAAAAATCCTTACCTCCACTGTGACCTATATAGATCTACTGTGAAACTCTTGTATTTTATAGCCATACCTTGGAAAGTGCCTTTTTGCTATAAGCCTCAGCATTTTTTTTATGTGCCTTTTCGCGAACCTCTTTTGGTGTGAGAATTGTCTTACCGAAGTGGCTAATACTTTGCATTTACAAAGGATATAATGCCGATGTCTCTGGGTCCTCCTGACTGTGTCGGCATATTTCTGTCTGCTTTGACCATCATTTTTGGGTAGATGTGAAGAGGGCGGTCGCCTGTATAGAGGCCTATAATTTTCCTCAAATCCTGCCTGCTGAGAGAAAGGAGTTCCTTCGCCTTCATTTTTGAGGGATTTATAAATATTTTAGCTTCCCTCATATCTACTGCAGTGATGCCAGAGTTTGAGTTTTTCTTTGACAAGTCATTTTTCCAGTTCCAACTTAAGTACAAACTCCTGTCCTTTTGTTTGGATAGTTGGTCAGCCTACTCTATATCTTTATATAGCGGAAATCACTTTAAGGTAGTCTTGTTGTGTTTTCCTAGAGCCATAAGAAAATTTAGGATCTCCTAGACACGTATGGAGTTGAAAAAATATTTAGTACCTGACTGTCTGAGATGGACCTTGGTGCTTGGAGACTGTATGCATGGACCTTGCTTGGAAATTTTTGTGATTAATAGTGCAAAGGCTTCCAATTTCAGCTTACTGAGTTTCACGTAATTACGAATATTGGAGTTAGGAGGAAATCCGTATATAATTATCAAACCGTTTTTAGCAAACTTGGGGCCTCCAGAAACTCAATAGGTCCATCCATACGAGCCTGCAGGAAATACAAGCATATAATCCTCATACTGAAAAACTAACAAGGGAAGGGTATGGACGTATCAGCTAATAGAACTTGTTTTGGTGATACTAAGTCAAAAAATATTACGTGACAGAGCGTTATTACCAATGAGCCCTAGAAGTTGAGATTTTATTTTATTTTGTCTTCCTGCCTTTTTTGTGAATGTATTTCAAGGTTATTTTACATCAGTCGATTTATTTTTGCACCTAGAATAAGAAAATAATACGTAGGATCAGATGAAATGAAATTAGATATATTTAAAAAGTTAGCGCCATTGGTTCGATCCCACCGTCGCCCGTGGCCCTTTTTCACGAACACTTCCCCCTTAGCACAATGCATCGACAAATACACACGTCTTCCTTGGCTAGGTTCATAAGATCATTTAAAAATAATAAAAAGTTTAAAGTAGGTTATATATTTAAGTTATGTGAAATGATCTGATACGCTTAGAAGCAAATTATTCTAGTATTGTAGTCAGCACCTTCTTCCTCCCGGGAAACCGAATTATTTGTCTCTGTATTTTTAATTACGATTCCTTGCCTAGTGTTTGACGAGAGTACATCGTTAAAATAGGTTAAACTTGTACTTGTAACTTGAAATAAAGTTGTTTTTAAAAAGGAATTCATAGTTGAAGTTATTTATCTGCCGCAGTCGTTAGGACGGCAAAGGATTTCAAGAGGACTTCGAATACCATCTGTTTCTGTAGTTAATTTGCCGACGAACATCATCTGCATTTGGAAAAGGACATGGTATACCTTGAAGTAATATTGTAGGTCCAGAAAAATTTATCTTTCGATTTTTTAAAAATTTGCACAAATTTACACAAACATTTACTTCAAACTTAAGTATAAAACTTATGTATTTCTAAAACTGCATAGAATAATAAACATACATAAAAAATAATAAAACAAGAATAAAAATAATTTCTTTCAATTAATTATTCTTTTCGGTTTAGTTGAAATGAAAAAGTTAAGTGTCACGAGCGGGATTCGAACCCACGAACTTCGGCTTGCATTTCAACCAAGACCTTACATAAAAAGAATAATTAATTGAAAGAAGTAATTTGGCCAATCAGACCACTAAACATACTGGATTTAATAATAATAATATAATTAAAAAATAATTATAAACAATACAAAAGGAATAAAATTTGTAAAATGGCTTCAAAAAGGATTCAAGAGCTAAATTTTGGTTTAAATCAAATACCCACTTTCGATGGTAATCCGAACCAACTAAATAGTTTCATTTCTGCTGTGAACGAAGTACAAGTTCTTTTTGGTACTCTGAACCCTGATCTAACCGAATATGAAAAAGCAGTTACCTTTATAGAAATAAAATCAAAATTAATAGGTAAGGGTGGGGAACAGACAAAAAACCACACATTTCACACATGGCACGACATGAAAAATCATTTACTGAAAAGTATCGGACATCTAACTTGGAGATGATAATGAACGAAATCTCGTATTTATAAACGAAAAGTCCGTACAAGTTATTCGAAGAGACACAAGACAGATTCTTTAAATTTAAGGGCACACTCGGACTGGAAAATTACTCGGCGAAGTAGTCGAAAAATGGTTATTCACAACTTCATAGGGAAACTGAGTGAACCATTTAGAAGTAATTTAGAAAATAGAAATCCGAAAACTCTGCCTGAAATAGGCAGTCTCCTTCATAACGACTATCAGTACATGAAAGAAAGTAATTTGACTACACTAAACGCAACTCGACCTCAAGTTATTAATAAAGCACCCGATAATCAACGATTTCTAAATTAAGGGCCGACATCTCAATTTAAAAGTTTTACAAAAAAACAGTAAATTCCCAAAAAACTCATCACCAACAAAATACGTTTGCACCTAAACAACTGATTCGCAATGGGCAAAACTTACACCCAACACCTATGAGCGTTTCCACACGGGGCACTCAACAAAATCCAATATTCAATCGCTACAATCAAAGCTTTAATAAACGTGTGGTGATTAGTGACCGTTAATCGATAATTATTCAGAAATCGTGAGATGAGGTCTGGTGTGATGTAGGTTTCAGAAAAACATTTTCTTTATCATGCCAACGTTTCGATCATTATTGAGATCATCTTCAGGGCTCAAAGTGTTTGTCTTCAGTGTAATTGTGCCATTCTTGCGTGTCGTGTTGAGAGTGCCGTGGCACAATTACACAGATTTGAGCCCTGAAGATGATCTCAATAAAGAACGAAACATTGGCACGATAAAGAAAATGTTTTCAGAAGCTTTAATAAACCTTTTGAACAAAACAGATATAAATTTGAAGAGTTAGATAACGTTGCAACTAACGGAAATTATTCAAATTCTACAGAAAATTTAGAAGACAATGAGTCTCAAAATTGCTTTGAATACGATCCCACAGATATTGTTCCAGGGGATATCGAAACAAGGGAACTAAGTCAGAACCAGTTTTTAGAGGGTGGAGAAAAATACCAGAATATCACCTGAATTGTACAACCGAAAGCATACTACCGTATATATTATTTCCAAACAATTTAAAAGTTCTCATCGATGCGGGTAGTACAAAATCATTCATCAAACAAAATATTGCTAAAACCTATTTCAACTCAAAATTAAATTCAAACCATTTAGAATTCAAACAGCTCATGGATCATCTTTAGAAAATTACAGCTCTGTCATAAATCGCTCCGAATTATTCAACTTTGATACTCTCTTTCTAGAAATGTGTGGTGATTAGTGACCGTTAATCGATATTTATTTAGAAATGGTGAGATGCGATCTGGTGTGATGTAGGTTTCAGAAAAACATTTTCTTTTTCGTGCCAACGTTTCGATCTTTATTGAGATCATCTTCAGGGCCTGGGATTTACACATGAAATCGAAAACAACCAAAAAAAGTACCATTTTTAGAAACAC